TCTAGGATGTCAAAAATGTGTCTGGTGATCCCAAGATGCTGCTTTTACTGCCCCCGCAGTTAATTTTACATCCTGTGAATGCAAATTCAACTGAGGGGGCAGTAAAGGCAGCATCTTGGGATCACCAGACACGCTATTATTTACGCTATATATTATTACACGCTATTACGCATTAAAGCTTTTAATGCGTAAAACACTTCTCTTCCTCTACGGAAAAATGTTTCAGTTAATATTTCTCGGGTGGATTCAGTGGCGTGGCGTGCTTTGCGATACATCGATTTTTATGTCATTTAAACTTATGGTAAAGGATCGATAAACAGGGTGTTCGCAGCGAACGCCTTAATAATCGATTCTTTATCATAGGTTTAAATGGCATAACAATCGATACATCGCAATTCACGCCACGCCACTGGGTGGATTTTCTTTTACATCAATTAGAGTGCCTCGTTTAAAATGAATTGATTTTTTTTTCTTTTTAAAAAAATTAATTTGCAAAGGGCCTATTCTGTTTTTTATTGTTTTGATTCAGCCGGAAATTTCTCTTAGTGTGTATTATACACACACGTGTGTCTTATTCACTGACATGAACTATTGGAATGTGCAACTAAATTTTGAGACACGCGGTCAACATATTTTATTTCAATTCTATATTTTGATAGCAACGAGGACTGACACAATGATGAGCCAGCGTAACAAAATACAATAAAAACATAGCGCGACCGTGACAGGACTCGAACCTGCAATCTTCGGATTCGAAGTCCGACGCCTTATCCATTAGGCCACACGGTCATCTATACAACAATAGACACAAATTTCGTAAATAAGGGTTGCAAAGACCCAGGAATCATTCTCATATAAAATTGAAATTTTTTTTAAGACACTGAAAAAACAAGTTATACCTATTTCATAAACCGACAGTTCATTTTTTATCAGAGGGAATTGGTATTTGTCAAAGGGAAAAACAAAAGCTTTCATGACTGCTAATCGCGAACTCTCGGGGTAATACTTTGAACTACGGGTCATGAAGGGGTGCACTTTAAATTATCTAGGTTCATCATGACTAAAGCATTAAATTTTCCCCAAGAAAATAAATGCTTCAATATGTGACAGATGAATGCTGTATCCTTACTTTTGACATTTTTTCATAGCTTTACTCATAATTCATGAGGCTATGCAGAATATAGGGTTAGAGACAAGAGGGTTGACCACCCTCCCTCGCGCCCTCAGTTCGATCGATACTCGACGAGGGTGGTGCGCGTTTGGCGGGAAATTTGAATACAAGCGTGACCACGAGTGAGGTGAAGTAGCTATATGTCTCTAGCTCTTACAATGAATTCATCACCTTTCCCTTTCGCACCAAATCCCTTTTGAACGTAAAACACATTAAAGATTAAGGAGCCCTATTTTCAACAGAGAGGGAGTCAAAATTTTCCGGTCACAAAATTGGAGCTCGCATTGGTTCACGGAAAAAGGACATTGTATAGTCCAGCGTCTTTTCGTGGACATGAAAAGATTTTAGTTTCGCATAACCTCGGTGCATATAACTTTAGAAGTGGTATTTTAGATTGCACAATTTCACTGAAAAAGTACTATTCTGTTTTAGCATCTAGGATGTCAAAAATGTATGTCTGGTGAGCCTAAGATGCTGCCTTTACTGCCCTCGCAGTTAACTTTACATCCTATGAATGCAAATTCAACTGCGTGGGCAATCAAGGTAGCATTTTAGGACCACCAGACACATTTTTGACATCCTAGTTGCAGAAACAACATGCCATTTTTTCAGTGTTGGCATCAATGTCAACTCTATTTAATAAAAATCTAATCGTGTTTGACTAAACTTTGGTAGGCAAATAATGACAATTAAATGTTGAGCGGTATAATATGAAAGTTTGATTCTGGGGTTAACCAAGCTTGATAAAAAGAGTTAAAAAAATAGAGTTAAAAAAGAGATTAAAAAACTAGACAATCCACCATAACAACAGTATAAAAACAAGCATTTATTGAAAAAGCCGTTTGAAAATTGACAATTTCCTTTCGGATGCTGAGCGCACCTAATAGTTAAAATAGAAACATACAAAAGCAACATTCAGTTCGAGACTAATTGTAAAAGCATCGATGTTTCGTCATTTTTTTAAAAATACCGACCTTTGAACCGGTTAAACATTGTTATTAATGCAATATAACAATGAACAACAAAAAATATATCTAACAAAAATGTAACACCAAATAAAAGTTTAGTACAACTTTTTCTGTTCAAAACCTAGTGAAGCCAAATTAACGAGCATGAAAATTGATTCTTTTTTCGATCTATTACTGGATAACAGATAAAAATCGAACGCATATCCTTAAACAATTTATTCTGGTTTAAGTTTCTCCTTTCAGTTTAGGAGGGGTGACAAAATTCCCCGTTTCTTTCAATTAACAGTCAATAATAATATGCACACATAAAAATAATAAATGCACACATTTTCCAATCATAAATGCACAAATTTGTTACGTGTATGCACCCTGAAGTTGTATTTTTGAGCGTACAGCCCTACCAAAAATTGTTTAGAATTTAATTCGGTTAGGAATCATGTATTCGAGTTTTATAGCCTTATATCTTTCATGCGTGCCGCAATGCTCCCATAAAGAACCACTTTACTAAATTTATGGCAAAAAATCATCATCTGTGAATATTTTAGTGGCGAACAGAAAGTTAATTTTAAATAAAACAACGACAAAACAAATAAATAGGTGTATATCGATTGCAACGTTTCATAAATTTTGCCCCTTCTCTATTATTTAAAGAGATTTTTACGTTGTAGACATGTTCGTGCGCAATTGACAATAAATACCCTTTAAAACGCGAAACTAAGAAAAAATCATACAAAATTGTGTGCGATGACAATAAAGGATCATCCCTCAAAAAATATAAAATTGACAGAGAACACGGAACGTCGCAAATCCGCGAGATGCGTGGTTTCGTGGTCTCAACATCGATCCGCACAAATTATCACAACTGTGGCATCAGGCAGGACTCCTGCCGCAGGAGTGATACAACTATTTTAACGTGAAGGAGCGCGTATGGCCTAGCTCGTCGAATTGAAGGCGAACTGTCTTAAACCGATCCGCAATGCTCCGCTGCGGTCGGCGTATTTGAATGTTAATGAAGCTTTTGCTGTTCATGGAACAATTAATTGATATGGTAATGCTGTTTCATCGAAAAAGGAAAGGATAGTGGTCGGTAAACGTAACTTACTCTGATTTGCACGAAAAAAGAAAAAAAATGACCAATCAAACGTTCGGTTTACCGCATAGAATTGGTTGAATCGTTTTTGATACTACATAGAGTTAGCCTTGGGTTTCTTCTTTTTTATTCTTACTCTTCTTCTTCTTCTCGTTCTTTTTCTTCTTTTTCCTTCTTCTTTTTCATCTTACTATTCTTTTTCTTCTTCGTTGCTTTATTCTTTAACTTATTTCATGTACGAGGAATACCTTAACTTGTGCACGACTCGATAAATGTCGGTGGTGCCTTTTACTTTGCTTTGCACAAAAAAAGAGGACAAAAATGACCAATCAGACGTTCGGTTTACCGCATAGAATTGGTTGAATCGTTTTTGATACTACATAGAGTTAGCCTTGGGTTTCTTCTTTTTTATTCTTACTCTTCTTCTTCTTCTTCTCGTTCTTTTCCTTCTTTTTCCTTCTTCTTTTTCATCTTATTATTCTTTTTCTTCTTCGTTGCTTTATTCTTTAACTTATTTCATGTACGAGGAATACCTTAACTTGTGCACGACTCGATAAATGTCGGTGGTGCCTTTCACTTTGCTTTGCACAAAAAAAGAGGAAAAAAATGACCTATCAGACGTTCGGTTTACCGCATAGAATTGGTTGAAACATTTCTGATGCCAAATGGACGGAGTTAAACAGAAAGGAACCAGGCCACATCGGGATCGAACCGAGGAAAAGAGGCTTAAAGTTTATCTCCTGCATAAGACTCAATGTAAAAGCTAAACTTCAAGTTCAATTTATGCAAAACCTGCTCCAACAAAAACTTTGAATTTTTGGCGATAGATAGTAGAGCAGTGGTTGAGTTCAAAACCACTAATAACTAAATTTTTTCCAAAATGTGGGTTGGTTCCTTTCTGCTTAGCTCAGTCCAAATAGAGTTAGTGTTGGGTTTTTTCTTTTTCATCTTCACTCTTTCTCACTC